ACACACACACACACACACACACACACACAAATCAACTCTAGCAGCACAGCTGTCGCATTCATCAGAAAGTATTGCCGGAGCTCAGGAAATGAATTTCTTGGGAGCACTTTTGGCTTTGCTGTAAATTTGCGATGCTCATATATACAATAAGCCTCAAATGAGAGTCCAAGGGCTTTGACACAATGCCTGAGCGCCGCTTTCATCCAGCGACTGAGATGCTCAGATTTGCTTTTTCCAAACCGCTTTTCTCCACCATCCCTTTTCAAACGGCATAATTAGCCTCCTGTACTGCCATCCATTCCTTCTTCCATCCTCCCTCCATCCATCCTGGATGCTAATTAAGCATGTGTCTCAGTGTGGAGCCTCTGCCTGGCACCCCATGCCCACCTCCTGTTGGCAGCCTCACCCCCACGCCCTGCATCCGACTGGCACAATATCCATCCTTTAACCCCCCTCCCTATCCCTCTCAAAAATCACTGTGATGAGATTCTGCTGACTCCCCCATGGGAGGAGGGAGGGAACTGATACGACGGGGAAGGAGCTGGCACAGGAGTGAAGGCTGACAGAGAAGTTGTTAAAGATGTAACGCGTGTGGAGGTGGACGCAAAACAAAACAGAGCAGGAACTTAACTAGGAGTCTAACTACTGCTGGTGCTACTTGTTGACAGCTGGAGTTATGAACTTGAAATGAAATACAGGAAAAACCACACCTGTATATACGCAGACTATCACTCACAAACAAGGCGGCATGTTAATGCAATATAACCTGATGTAAAAACACCTGCGCAGTCATTATAGCTCTATCGGGAGGCTTTTAATTTAATCTTTTTGCAAGTTTGTTTGGAGAGTACAGAAGTACCTTCAATGCATTCCAAGATATATTATAGTATATGTAGGATGATGCAGAGTTTGCCTGCCTTGCCTGTCTGTCATGTTGGAAAACAGCTGTTGCTTGAATAGATGAAGACTAAAAGACTTCCAAGAGCATTCAGTACTTTCATAAAAACAAACTATTTAGATTGCATCAACACTAAACTGGCTGAATCTGAAAATGCACTTTCCATCTCTGCTTTGGTCCACACTAAGACTAAAAGGAACTTTTGGAAAAACTCTCTAGACTGGATAAATCTGTAAGTAAAGTTAACTTTTAGTGATCTCTCATTTTAAATGGCATTTATAGGTAATTGCTTAACACACGTGTCATTAGGCTGTAAAGTATGCAAAGGCAACAATCAGAAAATAGTGGTTGGAATAGGTAACAGGTAATATTTACAGAATGAGCCAAAATCAAATCAATATTTTGTGCTGGTTCAGTTGTCCGACAGCAGAAATATGTAAAATGGAAAACTAAATCTTTAGTTCAGGTGTATTAAAATACAGTATACAGGGTTTCTGCTGGTTTCAACAGGTTAAATGTAAGTTTCTAAGACTTTTAAGACCATAATGAATGCAATTTAAGATCTATTTCACGTCCTTACTAGCAAAAAAGTATGAAGAATATAAAGGAAAATCATGTTCCATCAATCTCAATTTTGGAGTTGTTAAGCGTGATCAATATAAACGTTTCCCCCAAAACACATTTAAAAGCTTCATACAACATTAACTTCATAAATCCAATAAAGTTTTTTGGTTTGCCGACCAAAAGGAGGTGGAAGAAGAAATGTAGCCGTTTTCGTGCTGATCAGGTGTTTCAGTGTGGACAAAGATCTGAGATTGGTGATTTTCTAACTTGAAAAAGTTACGGTGTTATCGATGTTATGTTATCACACTTAAACAGGATTTTCAGACTAAACTGGTGGATCGTATAAAAGCAGCAAAAGAAAATGATCTCTCCAACTCTCTCTTCTTCTTTCTCTGTTTTCTTTTTTCATTCCCCTGTGTTTGTTAGGTAGCCACCGGCCTAGCTTCTGCCCAAAATTCTAAATAAATGCAATGTTCTTGTGAAATGGCTCGTTGGCATAGTTACCAACTAACAACCAACTAAAACTGAAACAGGTCAAAGCACCTCTTTCAAGCTAGTCAACCTACCCGTTGGCTCAGACACGATTATGCTGTATTAGGAGGCTCTGTGTGTGTGTGTAGATCTCAAACAGGAGGCTCACTTGCCCCCCGGTGTACACTAAACACTCCCACACCTGGACCCTGCTCACTCTGAGCTCGTTAGCAGCAGATGGTACACACACATACACCCACACACACGGGGACCAAAGGTTACACACACTCAAGAAAGGAATGCAGTCTATTTTGGTAAT